AGAGCGACAGTAAAAATTATTAATAATATTAATAATAATTATTAATAATAATTATTAATTATTATCATTATTAATTATTATTATTAGCGACAGTAATTATTATTAGCAGTGATTCTCATTAAAATTCTAAGTCGACTGGAGAGGAAACTTCTGTATAGGGTAACATGGGGCAGCGAGCCCACTGCGGGTCATGGGCCCATATAGCGGGTTTCTCGCTAAGTATGGCAGATATTGGTCCGTGTTCTCTACCGCCGGTCGACAGTTTCACTGGGATGAAGTGTACGGATTTACGTTTTGCTAAGTGCTTGCGTTATTAAGTTATTTGTGAATAACTGTTTTAGCCAAGATAAAAATTTTTTTGCTGCTAAATAAAATTGTTTTTTATTACTGTAGATGAAGCTTTTGAAATTACTGTGAATTATATTTTGGAAGTAATATTTATAGGGATAATTTTGAGATCAAGTTTAGACTATTAGCTTTTAAAAAGATAGTAAACATGCTTGAGTAAGATAGTAAACATGCTTGAGTAAGATAGTATACATGCTTGAGTAAGATAGTAAACATGCTTGAGTAAGATAGTTCATCGCTAATTTATTAGCATGAAATTTTCAACATCAGAGTGCAGAATTATGACGTTTAATCTTAGCCTTATATTTAAAGTTGAATAAAATAATAAACTGCATTTCAACATCACATTAAATTGGTTGAAAAAAATCCCAAATATATGTATCACACCTTTTCTACGCCGTTTCAACAGAGTTAAAATACTAAACTAACCTATTTTTAACCTAGCGCAATTGTTGCAACGCTTTCTTAGCTCTAGTTCAACACCGTTCAATTACTACTATTACAGTTTTCAACGTGAAATGAATGCAAAAACGCAGTTTCAACACCGTTTCAAATACTAAATTTCACAATTTTAACCATGAAATTGGTATAATATTCCGTTTCAGCACCGTTCCAACACATTCTCGGTTTCAGCCAAGCAGTTTCGCAACGCTATCCTAACGCTGTTTAAATATCGTTTCAATACCAATTATCACAGTTTTTAAAGATTCAATTGTTTCAACGCTATCACAACGCCGTTTCAAAACGGTTAAAAAACTAACTAACACAGTTTTTACCTATTCAATTATTGCAACACTGTTTTACTATCGTTTCAACACGAATTATACCGGTTTTAACCGCGTAATTGCTGCGTTAACGCCGTTTCAACAGCGTTCCAACACTAATTATCCCGGTTTTAACCTTGCAATTGTTGCAATGACGCCGTTTCAACAGCGTTTCAACAGGGTTTCAACAGCGTTTCAACAGGGTTTCAACAGCATTTCAACAGCGTTTCAACAGCCTTTCAACAGCGTTTCAACAGCGTTTCAACAGCGTTTCAACAGAGTTTCAACAGCGTTTCAACAGCGTTTCAACAGCGTTTCAACAGCTTTTCAACAACTTTCCAACAGCGTTTCAACAGCATTTCAACAGCGTTTCAACTCTCAGTAGTCGCGTTGACAGAAGAAGGCTCGCGCCGTCTTGCAGTCGACGTTCGAGAGGCCGGGACCTGCGCGGCCAAACTCGTACGTGAAGCAGGGCTGGCTGAGGGCGGCGAGCGTCGACTGGTAGGGCAGGATGGTGCCTGGGGGGTTAGGGCTGATTAATGGTGAGATTAAGGCTGATTGACGCTGATTAAGTATTAGGGATGATTAAGGGATTAAGGCTGATTAAGGGATTAAGGCTGATTAAGGCTGATTAAGGCTGATTACGGCTGATTAAGGATTAAGGCTGATTAAGGCTGATTAAGGATTAAGGCTGATTAAGGATTAAGGCTGATCAAGAGATTAAGGCTGATTAAGGATTAAGGCTGATTAGGGATTAAGGCTGATTAAAGCTGATTAAGGATTAAGGCTGATTAGGGATTAAGGCTGATTAAGGCTGATTAAGGATTAAGGCTGATTAAGGCTGATTAAGGCTGATTAAGGATTAAGGCTGATTAAGGATTAAGGCTGATCAAGGGATTAAGGCTGACTAAGGATTAAGGCTGATTAAGGGTGGGATTAAGGATGATTAAGGCTGATTAAGGCTGATTAAGGCTGATTAAGGATTAGGTCTGCTCTAGGGATTAAGGCTGATTAAGGCTGATTGAGGCTGATTAAGGATTAAGGCTGATTAAGGATTAAGGCTGATTAAGGCTGATTAAGGATTAAGGCTGATTAAGGATTAAGGCTGATCAAGAGATTAAGGCTGATTAAGGATTAAGGCTGATTAGGGATTAAGGCTGATTAAAGCTGATTAAGGATTAAGGCTGATTAGGGATTAAGGCTGATTAAGGCTGATTAAGGATTAAGGCTGATTAAGGCTGATTAAGGCTGATTAAGGATTAAGGCTGATTAAGGATTAAGGCTGATCAAGGGATTAAGGCTGACTAAGGATTAAGGCTGATTAAGGGTGGGATTAAGGATGATTAAGGCTGATTAAGGCTGATTAAGGCTGATTAAGGATTAGGTCTGCTCTAGGGATTAAGGCTGATTAAGGCTGATTGAGGCTGATTAAGGATTAAGGCTGATTAAGGATTAAGGCTGATTAAGGCTGATTAAGGATTAAGGCTGATTAAGGGTGGGATTAAGGCTGAATAAGGATTAAGGCTGATTAAGACTGGTGATTAAGGCTGGGGGGAGTTGGGTGGTTATGAGGGGACTGTGGGGACTGGTGCTGTTCTATGAGAATCAAACATAAGATGAAGAAAATCTACATATTTTAATCAAAACAAAAAATTAATATTGTGTAATAATATTTCATTAAAATTAAATTTTTTATACAATTCCCGTAATCTGGAGAAATTGAAATATTGCAGTTATTTTCTTCGAAAAAAATGTTACTAGTGATACAGTTAGTTGAGTCAGTCCGTAGAGATGAAATACAAATTAAAAAACTATTCATACTTGCAAGTAAACGAATTTTTAACTAAATATTTAAATAATTATTAATTTATTAACCGTTATTGAAGGTCCACACTGGCCCCGTCGTGGACCCGAGCGCCACCAAACTGCCCACGAGCGCTGAGTACAGACCCACGTAGCCAGTAGACATTCCTGCCGTACGAATAACATTAGGAACTGTAAATATTAATGCTGACACACCTGTCGTACGAATAACATTATGAGCAGCACCTGCCGTACGAATAACATTATGAACTGTACATATAAATGCTGACAGACCTGTCGTACGAATAACATTATGAACAGCGCATATAAATGTTGTCAACCTGCCGTAAGAATAACATGCATTACAACCTATGTAAGCGACATGCGAATTATTTAATAACCTAAATATATACAATTTACTTTTATTATCAGGACAATTGTTTATATATTTAGGTTATTTTATTGAATTCGCGATATGTTAAATATGTTAAATAACATCCAACGACACATGTCAATATGGATAAAGATGGAAAACGCATGAGTGTAAACATTGCGTATAATTGGTGAAATCGAAGTAATGCCAGGTAGAAAACCACATAAATGTAATAATACGAAATAATAGGTAAAATTAAAATTCTCTTGTAAATTACCGAGAGACTAAAAATGGCTTCATCTTCAGAAAATCACAGAACTATCTTTCAGAAATGACTATTCTTGAAATTTTAATTTCAAATTTAATTTTTATTTTAAATAAATTTTAATTTTAATTAAATTTTAATTTTATTTAAATTTTAATTTTAAATAAATTTTAATCTAAATTAAATTTTAATTTTAATTAATTACACTTTTTAATTTTAATTACTCATGAAAATTTCTTTTCTGAATATCAATTAAACAATCGTACTACACTAGGTCGATTGTACAAGTAACTCTTGCTCACGTACTTTAATAAGCAAATCAAATTGCTCATAAGAAAATAATCAATAAATAATTTAATCAGATTGAGAACTGAACGGAGTCGAGCATTGCTTCGTGTCTTCGAATGAGTAACGATAAGGATTTAAAATTTATTACATATTAGGGAAAGAATCGAATAGGAGCTACAAGATCCAGTGTAACAGACCCCATGCCATACATAGTGCCTAAACATTTCTCAAGATTGTGCCCCACCATTTTTAAACATGACTCTCACCATTCCTCAACATCGTACCATTCCTCAACATCTCACCATTCCTCGACATCTCACCATTCCTCAACATCTCACCATTCCTCAACATCTCACCATTCCTCATAAATTGTGTAGAACAAGGCGCCAAACAGCTGGTAATCTGTCAACAAAGACGCCTAAATTGTGTAGAACAAGGCGCCAAAATCTGTCAACAAAGACGCCAAAATCGTGTTAGAACAAGGCGCCAAACAGCTGGCAATCTGTCAAAAAAGATGCCTAAATTGTGTAGAAAAAGGCGCCAAACAGCTGGTAATCTGTCGACAAAGACGCCTAAATTGTGTGGAACAAGGCGCCAAACAGCTGGTCTGTCAACAAAGACGCCTAAATTGTGTAGAACAAGGCGCCAAACAGCTGGTAATCTGTCGACAAAGACGCCTAAATTGTGTAGAACATGGCGCCAAACAGCTGGTAATCTGTCAACAAAGACGCCTAAATTGTGCAGAACAAGGCGCCAAAAAACTGGTAATCTGTCAACAAAGACGCCAAAATTGTGTAGAACAAGGCGCAAAAATCTGTCAACAAAGACGCCTAAATTGTGTAGAACAAGGCGCTAAACAGCTGGTAATCTGTCAACATATACGCCTGAATTGTGTAGAACAAGGCGCCAAACAGCTGGTAATCTGTCAGCAAAGACGCCTAAATTGTGTAAAACAAGGCGCCAAACAGCTGGCAATCTGTCAACAAAGATGCCTAAATTGCATAGAAAAAGGCGCCAAACAGCTGGTAATCTGTCAACAAAGACGCCTAAATTGTGTAGAACAAGGCGCCAAACGGCTGGTAATCTGTCAACAGCGACGCCTAAATTGTGTAGAACAAGGCGCCAAACAGCTGGCAATCTGTCAACAAAGACGCCTAAATTGTGTAGAACAAGGCGCCAAACAGCTGGTAATCTGTCAACAAAGACGCCTAAATTGTGAAGAACAAGGCGCCAAACAGCTGGTAATCTGTCAACAAAGACGCGTAAATTGTGTAGAACACGGCGCCAAACAACTGGTAATCTGTCAACAAAATTGTCTTTGTTCTGTGGACTAAGGCGCCCGTTCAATTGAGTGCGAAAACCGGCAATCAATTGAAAAAATGTACTAGTAAAGATACTGCCAGTGAAATATGTTTAAAATTAAAATTATTCAATGTAATCATGAAACCAAAAAATATTATTCGGGTCGAAAAAATAACAAAAGATTATGCAATTATGAAACTGCGTTCATTAAAGTTGTGAAATCTATTGAATATCATCTAGAGATAATTTCAATAATAACTTTTAGTACATTCCATTAATTATTTAATCATCAGAATATACAAATACCAGATTTCATAAAAGTCTTTGGGTTGGAGAAGAAAAAATGAAAATGCGGCAATGATGAACTGTCACATGAATGAATTTAGCGAAATCTATTGAATGTCAGTCAGCGGACATTTATGCAGTCATTCCTTAATAATTTTAATGATTAATATTTTTAGCGCATTTTCTCATTTATGGAAAAAATGCCCTATTGTGCTCGTCATGTTTGTCCGTCTGTCTGTCCGCCTGTCTGCCCGTCTGTCCGTCTGCCCGTCTCTCCGTCTGTCTATTTGTCAGTCCGTCCATCCGTCTGTCCGTGACTTCAAGTTTTCTTCGACGAGAAAATGCGCTCTCTGTCACTCACTGCAGTGGGTACTGAGATATATTTTTACAATAAATTATATAATCCTCATGCTATTCATATACCCGATTTGATGACAGTAGTTGGGTTATTACAATAAATTATATAATCCTCATGCTATTCATAATCCTCATGCTATTCATATACCCGATTTGATGACAGTAGTTGGATTATTACAATAAATTATATAACCCTAATGTTATTCTTATACCCGATTTGATGACAGTAGTTGGGTTGGCTTTATAATCCAGCTGTAGTTTGTAGAGCTGCAGTGCGCCGGTGCAGAGCTGGCATGTGATGTCACGCGTGGCGGTGGGTGGAGAGGTCGTGTAGAGACGACATGCATGCAAGCCACATATGTACTTGCATGTACCTGGCATTTAAAAATATATTATTCACAAGAAAATGTGAATTAGGCGGCTTAATATTTTGTATTTGTTACATATTATTTATTTTGTAATTAAACATAAATGATAAAATATCTCAGCGAGAAGTAATTATGCGCGTACACATTTTAAATGCGTAATTGCATACAATTTATATTTGCCTGTGCCTGTACTTGTCTGTATGAAAAAATAAATAACAAGAACAATATACGAATGTGGCTGATTAGTATTTTTTTCTATTAAATTTTTTATTAATATTTTAGAGCACACATTTTGCTTACATTCAGATTTATAATAAAATTGCGAGCGCAAAATAGATTTTTATCAATGCACGCACAAAAATTTGGCACATTCTGCCAAGAAAAATATAGAATGTAACTTAATATTGTATTAAACATTTCACTTACACACAGACTTGACGATGAATGTGTGAGTAACATTCTCACGTGGGATGGTATAACCACGCAGCGCAAACTGGTATACGAGGTCTGTACTAGCTATGGGCACCATAACCATCACCATCACCATTATTAGTAATGGCGTGAAGAGACCCATTGTATTCATGGATAATGGACGAGGTCTCAAGAATTACAATGTTTATTACAAAAATCTTGTGTCTGTTTATTTTTTGTAGATTACAAAAAATCTTGGGTTATTCTTCATGAAAATCTTCTCACTAGAATCGATTGGAAATTTTCTCAAATAATCATAAAGCCACAGTTAAAAAAAATTCTACGATCGTTGTACCAAAAATATTATTGGGCAATAATGGAAATAAATACAAATAAAAAGGATGTATTTTCGGTCTTTTAATCAAAGAACTAGTATGAATTCAAATGACATTCACTGATTATTAGTCACTGATTATTTTATTCAGGAAATATCAAAGGAAGGAATTGATTTGTATGACTTTGAAGTAAAAATTAGACTTAGCCAAAAATTTGGCATGTAGTCTTGCAGAAAATACCAGAAAATTATTTGATAAATAATTAATTTATTAGTTAGTTATTTACTTATGCTAAGATACACTAATTAATTTGAATAGCCTCCTCCAATTTAGATAATATGTTTTTATCTCTTCATAAAATTTTTACCGTCCCGACGGTCATTATTATTAATAGTAATGTTAAAACCTTGCAGCCAAGGTCACTATATAACTTACGTAAATAAGTGATAATATTTTTAAAATATTTAAAACATTTAGTAATTTAGTTGCATAACAAATAAATAGTAACTTGCAAAAGTAAGAAAAATATTTCAAGTTATATGCATTTTCATTATCTTCAAAATGCATAGGGCGATGCATAAATTTCAGGTTCGCAATTAGACGCTGATGGAGGAAGATAATTAAAGTAAGGGATAAATTGAAGCAAATTAATATCCTCACACGATTTAACCATTTAAATTTTCGTATTGTTCTACTAATCGGCCTATAAACTAACTTTAAAAATTCATGCGAAAATCTTGCACGTACAATCTTCCTTGATAATTAAAAATATATGTAATGATTTGATAAATGCTTTATTCATGTAAATTTATGGAAAATTTTTTCTTCGCAAACTCTCTTTCTTTACATTATTTTTGGAATTTCAAAAATCCCAAAATCTACATCCATGGCTTTAACTAATGATCCGTAGAAGCAAGAAAAGAGTATGGAGTGCACCTCCTCTAACGACTTCCACGCACGGACTGATGTGATGAACAAATTTTACGTGTGATGAAGTTCGCGCGTGTGGCAGGATTAATTTTTAATACAGAACCAAAGTTTTTCATCAGTTACTGGCACTCCAAACACCAAACTTCATTATATATGCGTTGATAGCTTCCTCACCATTATAAAATATTCATCACAAGGAAGTGCATTCACCATCATGACGCCTAAGTTCATTATAATTGTTGTAGTTCAAATTATTGAATGCTCAAATTATTGTTCATCAGTATCAGGTAAATGAAACGGACTCTGTAAGTTAATCATCGATCATGATGGATCCACATGAAAGTCATGAATCATTCCTAATGATGCTTCTTTTTCGCCGAATAATATTTCACTTGAACTTAATGTGCAAAGGTAAATATGTATCCATCACTGAATACACCAACTGGATCACGCAAAATCTCCATCATCATTAATACACCAGACTGTACATAGTTCCCAAGACTAACGATGACTCTATTTAAATTGTTTTTACATTAATAACTATTTACTATTAGAAATAGACTATTCATTAATTGTTATCATTATTTGAAAGAAAATGGATCATTTGTTCATTCGTCTTATTTAATTTAAACATGAATTTATTTTACAGTTACTTTCTGGTAAATCTAATTTGAATCTAACGAATTTTTATTACACCTAAATTTCAGTTTTAAATATGATCTCATATTCAAGTATTTAATTTAAATCTAAAGTGAAATATGACTTTAAATCAAGGCTTTATTTTTTCTGAGAAAGTGTTATATTGTCACGAATTCAAATGATATGCTTTTTCTCAGTTATTATCTATAAATAAAACACCATTTAGTGCTGTAGCTTAGCTTTTTTGTAATTTATTGCTTCAAAGCGTTGGACTGAATTATTGGCTACACGAATGTCGTAGATCCACCGCAGTTAGCCTCAGTTGCGTTTTGCTACTCTATATCCATGGGGACAACCAATGTTGATTACTGAGTGAATATTAAAATAGGAGAGAATATTATATAGCACTGAATATTGCAGTCTATTGATTTGGCCACCACATGTCAGAGAAGAAAGTGTTTGATATTGGTGAAAGTTTTGTATGGTGTAGCTAAGAGTTTTGTTCGACCACATTGAACAAATTTGAACTTGATAATTCCCTCTCTAACAGTCAAATTTTCTGAAAGCTTACTATGTACGACAGGGAATTATGGTATAGAAACTATTTATACTGTGATAGTTATATTGATGATAATTTAAACTCGTATATCAGTGCTCTCAAAAGCACGAATGTTTCTTCTTACTATGAAATGTTCGAATTTTGCATGTGTTACTCTAGCCATAAATATTTTTCAGCAAGATAAAAGAAACTCCTACGAAATTTCGGTACATAAAATACTATTATCATATATATATATTAATATTGCATGCATGCCAAGAACTAAAGAGTGCCGTGTCATTAAGTGTTGATAAAGAGCAAGTCGATCAAGTGTCCAAACTTTATACCTAATAAAACTTTTTCATTTTCCTGATCGTAGTTTAATTTGCACTCGAAAACTCAGCCAATGCAGTCGTTATTTCTTAGTCATATAAAGTTAAATCATTAAGACCAATCATCAACTGGACGTTAAGAATAATATATTTGAATGATATTGAACTGTATATGACTTGAATATTATTAAAATGTATGTGCAAGGTAATTATTTTACATGTAATAATTATTCAGTTCATTCATTAAATTTGTTACGTTCATGCTGAAAAATGGATTATTTGGAGCGCTTAGCTCGATTGGTTTTTAAACATAATTAACTCTACAACCAGAGCACTACAGAAAAACCTGATTTAAGGTAAACTTGACTCTAATGAAAACTTCTTAAACTGTATAAATTTATAGGTGGAAGGATCCTAACCTGTAAAAATAAAACTAACTCATGCTACAAAAATTCCTGCCTTACGGACAAGCAATTGCAATAAGAAGGATGATGCTTCACCTCATTCGTTACCGAGGGTTTTCAGTGATGGATGAAAGAAGTGCTGTTAGAACTAAACAGAATTGAATGAAATAACGTGTAATTTTTCCGTTCCATTCGTTAAATATGTATTCAAAAAATACTAATGTCTGGTCTCTTGACTGGCCTTCAAACTTTAGCCCCTTGAGCTGTAATTAATGTGGAAGTTCTGGCCTTTAAACTTGAGTGCCATGAGAGCTCATTTCTGAGGGCCTTTATTATAGAGAATGTGTATTATTTCGAAAATCCTATAAGTTCAAAATTTGTGAACATCCCAAAAACCGGCACAATTGCAACAACGTGTCAAGGAACAAAATTAATAAAATTAACACAAGTTTTCGTGCAAAATTGTACTAAAATTCACAAAAATTTATCAAAATCAATTCAAAAGTTTCAGTAATTCGGGTTCCAGATGCTTAGCAATTGTCAGCGTAATATTGCGGATCAAGATCAACAATGCGGACACCGTCAGCGCACTGCGCCGTATTTCCAATTTTTGCTACCCATTCCGGCCGCTCTATGAGCCACGCAATTTCGCATCCGCACTCCAATGGATTGCCTGGAAAGCGAAACTTTTATAAAATCTGAAAATTGCTTTGCGTTTCCTAGATATTCGTTTTCAGTATTAGATTCTGCGGAAGTTATGTTTGTAATAGTTAGCATTTCTCCGTGGGAAGTAGCAGAGAAATTACTACTATATTTATTGAATAAGTAATTAAAAATTTTTGAAGTTGATTGCGTTGTCCGCAATTTTTGTTATGATGATAATAATATATTATACTAGTTCGCACGTTAATGGGAGGAAAAAGGAATTTGAATAAAAATATTCGACCAGGAAAGTTATTACATTAAATACATTTGGGTGCGGTTGATTCTACTGAATAGTGCTTAATTAAATTTTTATACAAATTAAAAGACAAATTACTGGCAATGAAGAGGAAGTCGAAGTAAGGGAAGAGCTCAGCAAACACGGCTTCATCCAGCTGAGTGAGCTGGTTCGCTCCGAGGTCCAGAAATAGGGAAAAAGATGCTGCAAAAAATGATCATGCCTAAACAAATATGATAATAATTGTCAAAAATTGTCAAACAATTTGTCGTGTGTTGAAAATTGTCGGTAAATTAAAATACTTGAACGATGCTCATGTTACCAGGTAGTAATTCTTTGTCTATTTCTTCATTATTAAATTCTCATCCATATATGTATAAAGATATAAAAAATCTTGAAAACTGTTATTGTACTGGTGAACATTACTGACAGATATAGAAAAGGTAGTTATAAATGATCAACTTCGTTTTAGAAGCCAAATGTGTGATTCTCCTATTTTGATATTAGCAGGAATGACACTGAGAAAATTAAACTCGAAAAATGCAGAATAATTCAATATTCTCCGTAAAAATACATTTACATTTTTATGGAAATACCAAGATTCTTGGAGCCACGTTTAGACAACTAAAAAAAATGTTAACAGGAGCGTTTGTCTCTTGATGAAGAAATATCTTATGAATGTTAACAGGAGCGGTTTATTTCTTGATGAAGAACAATGATAATGGACTCTGAAAGAAAGAAGGATGCAAAATCAGTTATTTAGAGATTAAATAAGCTCAAAATACCATAAAAAACAACAAAAAATGCATTATTGATGAATATACAAAAAGCACATTCACCGTTAGTTGAGGGCAGCATGAAGGCTCCAGGCTGGATGGTGGATATGTCATTATTCCAGAGGTAAATAGTCATATGATCGTCGATGAGCTGGAAAGTTTCAGCTTCCAAAATAGTGAGTCTGTTCTCGGAGAGACTGAGTGACTGCAGACGAGGCAGGTTCCAGAACGCTCTCTTTTCCAGACTGGAGATGAAGCTTTTTTCCAGGTTGATGCTTGTTACTTGGGTTAAACCTTGGAATGTACCTGAACGATTTAAAAATATAATGAAATGGTATGAAAAAGTCATAAAACTCAACCAAAAGGTGAAATTGCAAATTTGCTTGAATACTTTTCAAGATGAATTTAAATTTTAAATACGCTCCAGAAATATTTATGAATCATGTATGATTGAATGATTGCTATGCCAGTCGCTATAAGCTATATAATCATTTGCATGGATCAGTAGTTACTGCGTGATACTATTCAAAATTGAACACGCCATTTTATTGAAATTTAAATTGATAGTTAATAATTTTGTTGTTGTTGAATTTGATAAAAAATTTAACTCAGTACTCACTGCAGTGAGAGACAGAGAGCGCATTTTATCGTCGACGAAAACGTGAAGTCACGGACGGACAGACGGACAGACGGACAGACAGACGGACAGACGGACAGACGGGCATTTTATCGTCGACGAAAACGTGAAGTCACAGATGGACAGACAGACGGACAGACGGACAGACAGACAGACAGACAGACGGACAGACAGACAGACGGACAGGCAGACAGGCAGACAGACGGACAGACGGACAGACGGACAGACGGACAGACGGACAGACGGACAGACGGACAGACGGACAGACGGACAGACGGACAGACGGGCAGACGGACAGACAGACGGACAGACAGAGGGACGGACATGGCGAGCACAATAGCGAATTTTCTCCATTAATGAGAAAATGCGCTAAAAAGGCTCTCACCTGCTTTAATGGAGGTCACTTTAGTATCTCTGATACTGAGAGCTTCAACGCTGGCAGAGTACAGTGCCGGAATGCCGCTTATTTCATTTGTGAACAAGTCCAGCACGGTTAGATTTGGGTAGGAATTAATGGTGAGAAAAGGAAATGTGTTCTCGTGGAGCAGACTTGAAGTTATGTGAAGCCTCCGTAGACTGTTCAGGCTGCCAATGAAGGCGTATTCGCTTATAAATTCAATGCCGGAGTTGTAGAGCTCTATTATTTCAAAAGAAACGTCGTTGAAAATGTCACCCAAGACTCGTACGTCTGGACTTTCATCCAGAAACAGGTTGTAGAATTTCTTCTCTGGAAAGTCTACTTGGAATACCTGGGAGCAAAATTGAATACAGATATTTAAGGAAATTATTTTGCTGCTAATTTTTATACTTCACAATATCAGCGTCTCAGATATTCATGATTGCCTAAAACTTCTCCAAATCTAACGCTGTTTTATATTTTCAATATAGTTAACTCTCTAATGCTATTGCTAAACATTGTTCAAAGAAGTGAATGAGCGCCAGGAGAATATATACAGTTAATCTTCTACACCCATCTCAGGTTTTGTAATCAATTAAAAGAAAAAGCTTTAAAAATTATTAGACAAGTAGACAAAATTAGACAAGTTCTACATTATTGCGACTGTATCTGGGCTAGCTGGACACTGGACTGTACTGGACTGTACAACACTTGCTGATGAGAGACCACGGGACAAGTTCTACGACTACGACTGTACCTGGGCTAGCTGGTCACTGGACTGTACTCCAACACATTCCAGTATGAGACGCTGGGCCAAATCCAGCTGACAGCGGCAGGGAAGAATGCTCTGGGCATCTGGACAAATGGGAACCGCTGTACTGGATCTGGGAACCGATTTTGGAACCGATTTCTGGACGCCTAAAGCGCCAACCAAGACGGATAGGAGGCATAGAGCCGCTAAGATTTCCTTCATTTTTTCTATACCAATGATCTGTAATTAATGGTTCATATTTTTGCAAAGAAATTCTAATTAGTGCGTATACACGTAGAGTGAAAAAGTTGATCAAGTTCGGTAAGAGATTTGTAAGTATAACTAATAATGTGTAGGTATTTAAAAATTAATTATGTTTATTTATATATAATTTTTGGAGAAAGTGAAATAAGTGAAGTTCAAGTAAGAAACTGTAACAAATCTAGATTATTTCTCACTAAGTAATTTTCTTGCATTTGCGCCATTAACTCATGCTTAGTAAAAGGTATTGAATATTAGTGTTTAGTTTTTATGCGATGAATTTAATATAAATGAAATTTCCACCTTTACACGGTAAAAGTTTGATCGCAAGACCGCACGACTATAGTGAATATCGGTGTTGCAATTTATTTTTTAGTTGATAAATTAAGTGCAGACCTAGTAAATGATATAATTGAATGGAATTTAATCTTTTTCCTATTACTAAAAATTATTGATTTTTTTCGAAACACAAAGCAATCTATGGATAAATCATCACACGTGATATAACTAGTAAATTTTCTGAAAAACTAGTGTTTACACATTTTGCCGCTAATGTCTGTGCGCTAATTATCATTATAGTTGTTTGCCCATTGAGCTTGACGGAAAATATAGCAAAAGAAGCTGTTGTCGTACGTCTAAATGTGTCTCTATTGCCTTATCTGGCATCTATTCAGTCACGTGAAAAGATTCTCATGCACAAACATATTTAAATTTATAGTCGTATTTTGTACGGGCGAATTGTGGCCGGATATTATTTGTCACTGATTTATATACGTTATCGATGACACAGGTGCGTTTGCCGACACGTGATAGTGACACTGCCAGTCATTTGGCTTGAAAGCGTCTTGATAGACAAATAAATAACAATATACATGAGAAACAGTCATTACTCCGGATTGCTGCAGATAAATAAAATGTTGTTCAGATATAAGCAAAAAAAATGGATACCTGCAAATTTAATAGCGATATACTTCATTCATAATAGTTACTATGAATATTTTTTACAGAATTTATTTTTTTCAAATTAGAGCAAACAGAAAATTAAAAATTCAGAAAATTTTAAACGTGGTCTAAAAATTTCAAATTAAATACCCCGATCATTTATGTAGTTTTTTTTTTCATTTCCTCTGAAGAGTTACTTAAAGGAGAGTAAAACGAAAATAGGTCGATCACAGAGGCGTTTTTATACTGCTGGTAATTACGACATTAATATTTCCACTTTATGCACACTCACTTATTCATATAACGATACTCGGGCCTTCAATTATTATTATAATGAGAGCGTTTCAACACACGGGTTATTAACAAAAAAGTCGTACATCGCAAGGTAAGATAATAATATTATATTAAGGAAAATATACGTATTAATTTTAAGAAATGGGTTATTAAATGCCCTCGTTATTGGTCATTTAAGATAAAAAATGCTGTTTTTATTAGGTTATTTACTTTCTAAGTTTTTCCTTCATTTGCTGCGTCAACTGGTAATCCATAAATTTTTATCCATTCAATAACGGCAACGGATCAAAGCCATGATTTTCAATACAAAGAATACGATTGGGTAATGGAATATAGACACAGAATAAAAATATTTACCACGATTATCACAAGAAAATTAATTTAAAAATAAAATTCACACGGAATTTACGTTGTAAAATAAGATAACGAATACTGAAGTTAGTTTGAGAGAAATTTCTATTCTGAATTTTGCAGTGACAATGTGAGACACTTAGTGGGTGCATTACTTTTTGTTTATGTCATGATTACATAAGAAAAACATAATTATTTATTAATGCTGTTATTAAACAGTTAATTTAATTTCTTTTATTATTAAAATTATTTGCAATGTTACAGTTAACGTTTCACAAATTATGTTAAAGCTCGAGGTGCTATTTTTCCTGAGTAGCATGTTTTCTTTTAATCGAATAATTATTGTTAGAAGCATAGCCTTCTTTTCCGTCGAGCTTTCTTTTCCTGTTGCCTTCAGTTTCTTTTTTCAGCTTCGAAGTTCTGGCAGAATTTTCCTCTCCCTTGTCGCCAATAAAACCAGGTTCTGCTTTGAAAGTCAATTTTTCCTCCAGCCCTGCAGTGTATAGAGCAGAACTCGACCCTATTCCTGAAGTAGAGCCTTGTCCCAAGGCTGAACCGATATCAGTTGTAGATCCTTGTCCCAAGTTTGAACTATTTCCCGATGTAGAGGCTTGCCCTAATGCTGCACCGATGCATGATGTAGAATTCAATAAAAATGTTGAGCCAGCCGTTGAGTACGATCCCAAAATGCTGGAATTGCTGCACATGGGTTGGGTCAATGCGTTTGAAAAGGAAGTCGTCATATTTGCCGACGATATGGGTGTTGCATCCCATGGACAGACTCTTGGAGCAAACGTCCCGTTCATTTCGTAAACATCGCTCGTGTACTGAAGGATACTACGCCGTTCTCTGTCTCCTCGTGTGGAGGTCTCATTATTTGGAATACCAGCGTTAGCTATTATGCTTGGCACAGATGTCGAAATCTGAGGTTTGGTTGGGCCACAAAACGAGGTCCTCTTGTTCTGAGTGGGATAGACAAAGTTCTCTTTTGCGGGAGATCGTACAAGTTCTATTTTAGGGGGAATTATCGACGTTTTAATGCTAGAGTCCCGGAGAGAATTGTTCTTCTGTTCCAAATTAGCTGAAGAATTTTCATCGAGCACTGATTGGAAAGAATCTCTGGCTTTCGGTGCACTTGGATTGGTTTCCCTTGGTTCAGCATCTCGATTCTGAAGTGAAGAAGAGAAACTGTTATAAATTTCCGCCTTCACGGGAATAGGAATGGGTATCGGAATTGGTATGGGAATAGGAATAGGCAGAATCAAAGTACTCTGCAAAAGGGAAGATAGATTGGGAAAGGGCTGGAGTTGTGGAATTGGCTTAGGAACTCCACTTTCTGTTGGCACCGTTTGCTGATGTGACGTCTGAGGTATTGGTGCCGGTAGTTGAACCGGCATCTGTTGTTGCTGTTGTTGAAGCTGTTGTTGTTGTAAGAAGTACAATTGTTGTTGAGGCGCATTCTGATGCAGTGGAGGAGGAGGTAGAGGAGCTGGAAGTCTTTGTTTTCCAGCTTGTTGTTGCAAATGGAATTGAATGTACGGCAGAAGATGAGGTGACGTTGCAGAAGAAAGGGACTGAGGCGTGTCGGTGGATGGTAGCTGAAGTACGTTCGAAGAGGGAAAATCAAGGGTCATGGGCGCTGGTGGTGGCTTCAGGAAAGGCTGATTCAAGCTCTGCAGAAGCTCTGGGTACTGGAGGGAAAGCAATGGCAGTAACTGTGCTTGTGGCAGAGTTGAGTGCGGGGGCAAGAATGGGTTCATGTTTGGCAGTCCGGGCTGTAGTGATGCTCGACTGTTACTCAATAAGTTATTTAAGTTAGTGATAGGTGAAAATGTTTGAATGCCTGATGGTGATAACGATGATTGTGGAGAACTGGTACGATCAACGGGAGAATTTCCTTCCAGGTGTCGAACACGGATAGCAGGTTTAATATAATCCCCGTTGGCTTTTCGTTCCCTCTTGGGTGAAATGTCCCGATTTTTAGTATCCTTGAACGTCGTGAAGGAACAGCCAGGTTGATTATCGTAGGAAGAGTTGTTTTTACGATCTCGGAATCGAGATTGCCGAGGAATTAGCATCGTTCTAACTCGAGGGCTGGCACTTCTCGACGTGCTTCGTTTTTCTTGTACAATTTCAGCGGAATTTTTCAAACTCTGATTTTCCGTAAAAATCTTATTTATAACGTCAGGGTTTGCATCAACTGCTGGGGCTTCAGACATCTCAACAGCAGATTCAGAGTTGATATCAACATTAGAAATCTGCATAGGTCGGGTGGTTTCAACACTTAAGTTCACCGGCTCGTTTTCAACTTGATCATCCCTGTTGATTTGTTCCGGGGATCCTACACTGATAGGTGATCCTTGCGGTTCCTGCGTTGGGGATTCAACAAGTCCTATGGAATTTGTAGGATAACTTGCGTTAGGAGATTCATCATCTGGAGTACTCTGGATATTGTTGCCTGTTGAATTCCCACAGTCAATTCCCGGAATTTCCCTGCAATCCCGCATCCACATTTCTGGGGTAATAAGAGCATCTGGGGAACTTTTATCTCTGGTTTGCTGTAGCGCTGAACTTTGTGGATGAAGATGAAGGTTGGCTTCGGTTTCACGGCAGAAGATGTGCATTTTGTAGTGGTTCAGGCATTTCATACTGCACAAGAAAACAACTCTTTAGAGGATGGGACTGAGTTATTCACTAAACAAAATTATAAAAGTTAAGCAAGAGTTTGAACGATTGTGAAATTTTCACTTTTTTAGTGGATACTTCATTGATAGATAGTAAATTTGAAAGCAAGGAGAAAATAATTTTTGTCCTTTTAGTCAGTTATTCTAATTAATTTTAGTTGATATCTATTCAAATTAGAATTCTCAAACAATCGGTGTGCAAAAATTTGTATCACACAGAAAAAGTGGAAATTTTACAAATGCTAAGACTGAGGACTTAGTATTTAACGATATGCGAAGGACAATATTTTGTGGGTATGAAGGAAGTACATTCGAAAAATCGCTCAGATTTAACCCAACAAAAAATATTCTGTTTTTCGAATCATGTCAGAAATTTCAGTATGTTAGCTGTAATATATTTGGAACGAACGGGTGAAGTTGCATGAGTTAACATTTTATTATATTAAATACTGCTTTTTTCATTTATTAGGAAGAGATTACCTAAGAAAAGAATTCCCTTTTATGTTGTAATAAATTTCTATATAACGCTAGGAACAGGAGGTACAAGTGATGTTTTAACAATTGATAGCGTTTTTCTGTTTTTTTTTATTCACTTGATATTTTAGTGAATATTCACTATAATGACTTATTTTACATTTACAGCATGTGATCGTGAAATTTATAACGTTTCTGCAATTGAATTTTAATTGTTTTAGCCGACTTTATTTTTGGATGTATTTATTTATTTATATATTAATTAGTTCATGAAATCGACTTTATGTACGTATGTGTTTATTTATATACTTTAGTTGACATCATTTATGTATGTATGTATTTATTAATTAGTTAATGAGTTCATGAAATCGACTTTATGTACGTATGTATTTATTTATATGATTTAGTTGATTTCATTTATTCATGTGTGTTTTTAGTAATGAGTTAATGAGTTCATGAAGTCGACTTTATATATGTATGTATTTATTTATATGATTTAGTTGACTTCATTTATTTATTATTTATTTATATATTAATGAGTTCATGAAATCGACTTCATGTACGTATGTATTTATTAATGAGTTAATTAATTAAAGCTATGTAATAACCTGCAGAAGTGCAGCTGGGCGTCGCAGTCTGTGAAGTCCACGAAACTGACGGTGGGGCCGCGCTGGTGACACCAGTCACACACCTACGAAAATTTTTCCTTCATTAAAGCTGAAAAATGTTATAAGAATTATTTCAAAATTTATTAGAAAATGAATACTGAATTAGTGAATTATGAGATTAGTTATTCGAGCAAAGTTAAACTTGACTGCGGCGTAAAATGGGACAAAAGGTGAAAGATGAAAATGAAATCATATATGACAACGAAGTTGAACTTTTCAGTGAAGTTGAACTTGACAGCAAAGTCCAACTTTAAAACGAAGTCGGAATTTCCCGAGAACTGAAACTTGATTTAACGGACTCAAAATTGAATTGAATTTGACTGAGATTTGCAATTAAAAATTAAATCAAAATATTACAGCACAAAAAACTCATTAGAACAAGCAACGAAATTCTAATTTTTTTCAAGAAAGTCCAAATCGGTGGCCGCTGAACAAGTTTTAATCTCGATCGCGTCACGTCAAGGTTTTTTCCGTGATTTGATTGTCTCAATTCTTTATGGACATTGGAGTGCACAAAGACAAAGAGCTAGCTTGTTAGTTCTCATATAAGCCAAAATCTTCGCAGACTATTTATTATCCAATCACTGAAGTTTAAATGTTTTACTGAAAAAAGCTAATTAAATTACGCTTTTTCATTTATACTCGAAAAGAAACGAAAGGAAAATCTGAGAAAAATGTGAATTATTTGTCACGGTAAAATAAAAATATCACATAATAATCCTTTTATGAATGCATAATCATTCCGTTATCGATCGAGATTATTTTAATTACATGAAGGTGTATTTTTCTTAGTTCTCGATCCCTTCGCTGCATTCCATTAGAAAGATGGTTAATATTTTCGTAAAAAACTCGAATAAAATTTAATTTATTAACTTACGGGTTTTTCAATATCTAGCTACAGATATAGTCCAAAAAATATAAAAAATTTTAATAACTTGTGTCTTCCATTCTATTGAGTCAATAAAAAATGACCAACAATAATGCTTTGAGAAAGTAAATGCACTCAGACTATGTTCAAAAATCAATGTACTTTTTGCCGTAATGAGTGTCATCCGAACTCAGTTTGGCTCATTAAAAAGGCATGTAAAGTAAAAAGGCATATAAAGGCTCGAGCTGTCGGTAAGAGTCTGTTTCCTGATTTGGACAACACTACCCATATATTTCTCTAAGTGGAAAAACTGAGAAATCTTAAGAAAATAAAGAATCAAAACATACAAAATAAAAAATATTTCACCTTGGATTTCTTGAAAGAAGCTCGTCGACAATACGTGAAGCAAACTTCAGAACAAAAGTGGCGTTCACCACCCGTAGTGTCGAGCGTGAAGCTCTTCTCACCACTCGCCACCTCCCGACACACTTTGCCACACCACGAACACAGCACCACACCCGCCGTGGCTGTGGATGAGTGGCTTGTGCCACATGCGTGGCTGCGGCTCTTCACGTCGCTCCGGTCTGGAATAACATGAAAATTTGAAGAAAATTCAGAAAAACAACTGTTAAAACAACTGCCAATTTGGAAAAAAACTGTAAAAAACAATTGTTAAAAATAATTGTGAATTTGGAAAAAACAACTGTTAAAACGACTGTTAATTTGGAAAAACAACTGTTAAAAACAACTGTTAATTTGGAAAGACAACTGTTAAAAACAACTGTTAATTTGGATAAACAACTGTTAAAAACAACTTAATTTGGAAAAACAACTGTTAAAAACAAGGGTAAATTTGAAAAAAAACAACTCTTAAAAACGACGGTTGATTTGGAAAAACAACTGTTAAAAATAACTGTTAATTTGGAAAAAAACAACTGTTAATTTGGAAAAACAACTGTTAAAAACAACTGTAAATTAGGAAAAACAACTCTTAAAAACGACTGTTAATTTGAAAAAAGCAACTGTTGAAAACAATTGTTAATTTGGAAAAATAACTGTTAAAAACAACTGTTAATTTGGAAAAACAACTGTTAAAAACAACTGTCTATTTGGAAAAACAACTGTTAAAAACAATTGCTAAAAACAACTGCCAATTTGGAAGAACAACTGTTAAACAACTGTCCGTTTTGAAAAGCAACAAATTAAAACGACTGTGAATTTGGAAAAAAACAACTGGTAAAACGACTGCTAATTTGGTAAAATAACTATTAAAAACAACTGTCCATTTGGAAAAACAACTGATAAAAACAACTGCTAATTTGGAAGAACAACTGTTTAACAACTGTCCGTTTTGAAAAACAACTGTTAAAAACAACTGTTAATTTGGAAAAACCGCTGTTGAAAACAACTGTCCATTTTGAAAAACAACTGTTAAAAACAACTGTCCATTTGGAAAAACAACTGTTAAAAACAACTGTTAAAAGACTGTTAATTTGGAAAAATAATGGTTAAAAACAACTGTCAATTTAGAAAAACAACTTTTAATAAAATATGCGTTTAAAAATTACTTTTTAAAGACAACACTTCTAAAGAATCCAGTGTCTCCGATGTTACACATGTACAGTGAATTTCTAATTTTATTATCAAATATTACAAAAATTAATTTCCGATTTTATTTGTAAAATTAAAAATAAATAACTTTTTCAAAATTATTTATTCTGTCATTTGATTCATGCAATGCCTCCAACTTTACGCAAGTTTGGAAAATTTCACATTGATTGGGCAGGTAGAAGAGTGTTGAATATCGATTATAAGATTTGTAGGAGACGAAATTATTTTTTCAATTTTACTTTAAACTATTTATATTTATTTATTGAATTATATATTCTGTTAATTGATTCATGCATTTTCTCTAACTTTGCACAAGTGTGAAAAATTTCAGAGCGATGGGAAAGGTACCAGTGTGTTAAATATCGATTATAAGATTTGTAGAAGACAGACAAACAAACTATAATGTACTGTAGAATAATATTTTCGGTCGGAATGAATGACACGAAGGAATGTCGGGATAATCGCGATTACGCACTGACTGCTGCCACTTGCTGCTACGGTGAACTGCTACGTCATGGTCAGTTGTAGAATTGTTAAAGTATCAATGTAATCAAATCAATCAAACAGCGGTTGTATGCAAAACTGACATACGTATATTATGTTGCTTGTATTGAAATGTTTTTAACGATATGTCACTAAAGAAAACTGCCCAACACCTTCTCATCGTCTGTTTGAATTATTGACATTTTTTCTAAGTATACAACGGTTTAAGGTACGATTTTCCAGTGAAGGGTACCAATTCTCGATTAAAATTCTAAATATATATTATAACTACAGTAGTTTGAGGATGAAATCCAAAAAATTCATTAGTTATATTTTTGTAAAGGAAATCTCCATTAAATCTAGGAATCATTTACGAAGAAGTCACCTCGACTTCCAAAAAAACAAACTCACCGAAAGCCGCGAACTATAAAAAGATCTAACATCTGCTGAAAATTTGCTTTATTAACGGTAGACCGCGAGTCGGCCACTGAATTGCCTCCGAAGCTGCGCCAAATAATTCCAATGAGATCAGGCGCTGCGAGTGTCAAAACAACAGCTAAACGAACCATTGTCGGTATATTGGCGCCGTTCTTTCAATAGAACTCGTTAGGAAACTCTTGAGCGACTGAGATTAGTATTTTTTACAGAGAGAGAAAGAGAGAGTTTTGTCTATTATTTACCGTTGCGAGAGATTGGCGTTCAGCCGTTAATGGTTTCTTTGGCGTCTGTTGTCGGAGAAAATAATTGTTTCGTTTAGGGAAAGGAATATGAAAGTTGGTCATTGTGAAAAAACCTTTTGCATGAAGTCAAATGAAATGTTTCTATATTAGAAAATTAACAATGTTTGTAGAGATTAGTTGTGGTGCCATGAAATTGGTTCTTTTCAAACGAGAAAAAAGAAAGTGCTATTAACGAACGCAGGAAATTTGTTATGATTAATTAAGTTACGTTAGGATATGTGAGGTTGAATCGGTTGTGGGTTTGAAGTTGATTATTAATGTGGTCACTTCATCATGAATAGTCACTTCATTATGAGAATAAGTCATTATAGTCACTTCACTATGAATGTCTTTACGTACACGATTTGTCGTTGTTCACTCCTATCAAAATCACTTTCTGTTCAAAAAAAACAAATAGAATGATAAACTGATAAATCTAATATTAAACTTAAATTGTGACCAATAAGTATATCATTTATTCCGAACACTGGACACGACATTTAAACAGTTGTACATCTTTAAATAAGGTTGCATAATTTAAGCAAGTACCACATATTATATTCTCTTTGCTCTAGAGTCAGCACAAAACTAAACTTGATATGCTAACTAGATCAACTATGGGTGCACTGTGCATTACACGCATGCCCCAGGCAAAGAAAATACACAAAAAGTGTATTTGATAAGAAACAGTTCGGAAAGCATTAAAAATGTATATAAAAATTCTACAGGATTTGTGATTGGTCGAAAAAATTTCATAGCAGCTAGGCAGGTCTTGAGTTACTAATATGTACATTTACACGCGCATGTGTTGATGAAATCTCACTCTAAATTTGTTGCATGCTTTCTTCAGATAATTTAAATCTCTGGGCATATAGTTGTTAGATTTTCTAACATTTGTGCTTGAAAAGTGACATTGATCGAGCGATATTTTATATAAAATGTAAATATTTATTCTTGATGTGCATTTTGGTGCCATGTATCTTCATTATTGCAATTTTCAATCATTTATCATTATTTGAAGGGTAAATTTAAATTCAACGTGGTTTTAATTTGCATTTAAAGGTATCGTTATAATAAAAAACTCCTAATAATATAACTCAATGGACTAAAGTCCTTGTTGTCACTTGCAATTAATTTGTGAGAATTCACAGGTGAAGTCAAACACCGCGGACAATTTAAGTTACTTTAGTAATATTGAAGCCTTTAATTTCCGAAGTTTATTTTTTATTCTAATATTTTCTCTCTTTGCCTATAAGAGAAAATATTCAATCATATCCTCTGGAAGATTGATGGGTCACATTGATTTGTCCAACATGGGTCATATTATTAATTAGTGACAATTTATCCCTGATTGAAATGGACTCCGGACTAATAGAAAAAATATAACTCAGTACTCACTGCAGTGAGTAACAGAGAGCGCATTTTCTCGTCGACGAAAACTTGAGGTCACGGACGGACGGACAGACGGACGGACATGGCGAGCACCAGAGTGCATTTTTTCCATAAATGAGAAAATGCGCTAAATACATCACTTTTTGAACAGATTCTCGCTTATTTTTACACAAACGGTGAAAATGTAAACTTTACAAAATATCAAGTTCGCTTACCTGATTTCGGGGAGCTGGCACCGGAAATATTCGAGTCATCATTTTCAAATTCCACCGAAGTGTTGGTGAGTGCAGCAGGCTGAAGAGGCGATGATGGTCGTGACAAGGAGGAGGATGATAAGTTATGTTGGTCCCCGGAATCATCGAATGATGCCACAGTAACCATCGGAGGTGATACCTCCGAAGTCTTGCTGCCGCTAGTTGGTCGGTGGCAGTGCTTATGTTGGCCAGACTGTGGCGACTTTATAATAGACTTCCCTTGGTAGCAATGACCCGAAGTGAATTTACTAGAGGGATTAGAGAGGATTGTTGACAGTAGGACCGGCGGATCAGGAAGATTTTCTCTGAAACTATTGCTGAAATTCACGATTGCACTGGAGTCGGCGTGTAAATCATTCCCGTGGAAAGAATTCTCAGTAGAAACCACTGACTTTGATACGGACATAACCGAGGCCGACGACATTGTGGCTGGAGTGGAAGATCTAGGGTAGAGACTTGATAAAGATGTTATAATTTTCCGATTATGAGCTGATGCAGATAGACGTTTTTTCTTGGGTTTATGGAGGGGTGCAGCAGGACTGTCGGAGTCTGAAGATTCGTCTTCATGTAAATGAATCTGCCGTAGTTTCATCATCAAATCTAATCCCAAAATTTCTGCAAACCACTATTCATTTGTTTCTTACTAAACTTCATGTGAACAACGAATTAAACTAAGCAAACAAATTACAATACGAAACTTGAATGTATCTGAGTATATCCACTGATTTAATAATCAGCACACAGGTATTCAATAGAAATTATACATTTTCTTGGAAAGTTCAATTAGCTACAGCTTTCTCCGTTTTTCATGCGTTATGTCTGCGGAGAAATTGAAAAGAAAAATTATTAAGAGAAAAGGTAATACCTCTGACTGAAAAAGCGAAGATCTTACTTAGATGGTGAGGGTAAGGGGTGAGGGTAAGGGGTGAGGGTAAGAGAGAGGAGGAGAGGAGGGAGGGAGGAGGGGAAAGGTATAATAAACTGAATTAAAAAGAATTTATGGTAAGAGATTCGTTTAAATAAGATAATAAAAAGTCAAAGTTAAATTGTTACAAAGAAAGTAGGAAATTTGAACGTAGTGAAATAGGGGAAAAAGTGAGAGCAAACGGGGGAGTGAAACATATGAAAAATGCGCGTTTGTTATGAGAGGAGATAAAAATAAACGATAACAGTGCGAGTATTAGAAAATGTGAAGAGTAATGGGAAGGTATTCAGTGAATGATGCGGACAATATATGAGAGGGTCAAGTTAGTTATTTTCTATGCAGGTAATAAACAATTAGACCCTTTCCTATTTTCCTCACTTAAGGGAAAATAGGGGAGTTAGGGTCAGGGGTTAGGGGTTTAGACCCTCCACGGGGGTTCGGGTAGATATCCCCTCACCACCAGGGGGTCTGGGGTCGGGGGTCGGGGGTCGGGGTAGGGGTTCAGGTAATGAGTCATCGTATCCCTTCTTTAATGGCGCCAGAGTCAGATAATCGTTAGTCTTGTCATTAGTGGACTGTCACTAGGGCGGCAGCCAGCACGTCACTAGCCACACTAGGGTCATTACTCATTAGCATGCCTGTAACTAGTGAGAGCTAACGGTGTGTCGAGCGCCGGCTGGTTAGGTTAGGTTAGGTTTTGTTGCCTAACCGAACCTAACCTAACCTAGCCTAACCCAACCTAACCTAACCTAGCCATACTAGGATCATTAGCATGCCATTAACTAGAGACAGCTAACGGTGTGTCTAATGCCGGATAGTTGTTAACTAATAAGGAAAGAAAATATCTGCCACTAGTGACGGCGAATGTGCCACTTGTGAAGTAAACCAGTGTTTCGGGCGCTATTTTCTGTCATTATCATATTGTAACTAATGGCCGTGGACTAGGCATCTGTCACTAGTGCCGGGAATTAGTTTTTCTGGCACCAGTGCCTGATATTATTCCGCCTCCCACTGATGCCGGCAACGAGCAACGGAATGGAACAATTGGTGCGTAAATAATAAAGTATAAATATACAGGATTAGTCTAAATGACTGACCCAATAGAATACATTCGTATTTTTGCTTGCGATTTATTTAATACCTGCATATAGGATATATGATAGGATAAAAAGTCGTATGTTTTAGTCGAACGGAAACCATTCTTGGGATGTTCGCTTCGAAAGAAACCCGCAAGAAACTCCTCAGATCTGACAATAGGTAAATTCTAAACATGTCCTAAAAATTACAGACGAAATATACAGGTGTACGAATATTTAAAGGAAAATGGGTGTGCATTTTTTTGTAATTTGTTTTCTCTACTTCTAGAGCTAATTACGTTGTGTGAAAATATGTTCCAGCAACACAGTTGAACCAAAACACTGTTGAACAAAAATTGCTTTTAAATTTCCTTGTGCGTGGATATGACACTCCTTAATAAAATTTGCTTTTAAAAAGTCACATGACCAGCAAAAAACGTAAAAACACATAAAAAGACGTATAAAAAACGTTATTTCGACGGAAAAGTTCCGAAAGTGACTGCAGAATATTGTGTTGACAGATTTTCAAAAATATATGTTTCTCAATCTCAGAAGATTTGTAATCCCTATCATTTTACTTCTCAATCACCTAATAGCATTGGATTTGTTTAGACCATTTCGTAAGTGCCCTAGGAATGTTTCGATACATGTCGCTGCTGATGTATATAGTAGGGCATGGCTGAATGTGACCTTTAGGTTAATAGCACCGACATTCATAATCATTCCCTATCATGTATTATACGAAGATAAAAGGTTAGTAGCACCGACGTTCATAATCATTTTATATCATGTATTATACAAAGATATGCACCGTCTAGGCGATCGAGTCATAATTCGCAGTCTTAACCTCGCACGTATGATTGTATAAAATTGCAAAGTAGGGCCAGGATTGAGAGGTTCATCAATCAATAAATGTCTGTATTTTAGAGAGGTGTAAAATTCACTATTAACATATATAGACCAGTATACAATGTATTGTATATTTGATAAAACTTGCTGGACAGACAACGACCGCCCATTGTATGTCCGGGACAGAGCTTGTATAGGTCACATGCTACTCACATTACCTAGGCCGACCTTAGACCTATGGTCAGACCTATACGCATATTACTTAGACAGACTTTAGACCTATAGTCAGACCTATACGCATATTACTTAAGCAGACTTTAGACCTATAGTTAGACCTATACGCATACTACCTGGGCAGACTTTAGACCTATGGTCAGAACTATACGCATATTACCTAGGCAGACTTTAGACCTATAGTCAGACCTATAGGCATAAAACATAGTGAAACATTAGCCCAATAGTCAGCCCCTACTATCATGTTACCCAGGCAGACTTCAGCCCTATAAAGAAGGCTCAAGCGCGACCTATTCACCCACGCACACACGCTCATATAATTCCTTTTGCTAGAACCTAATACAGGAAAACAATCCTCGTGGAGAACTATAATTGAAGGACATGTTCTTAAAATAATTTTACTATACAGGAAAAAAAAGTTATAACGTAAGTAACCAAACGCAGTCCATGTAACCATTGTAACCATGAAACCATGGTTGTGTAGCTTTTCTAAGCATTGTAACCACATGCACCACACGCTAACCCCTGTAACCACACCACCACTATGCATGTAACCCTATTCACCACAAACAACCCTGTTTGACCACACCACCACTATGCATGTAACCCTATTCACCACAAACAACCCTGTTTAACCACACCACCACCATGCATGTAACCCTATTCACCACAAACAACCCTGGTTGACGCCTAACATTGCCGACGTAACCAGAGAGGCCGGGCTGCCCGACGGGGTTCTAGGGTTGCACATCTCACGGGACCCCGACGCCAGCGGCCGCCATATGCCGGGTCATAATTTGCAGCGACAAGTTTTCACCCCACAAAAATTATCCGAAAATTTCTTGCATTGATTACAGCATTTCTTTACCTTCACAAGTTGAGTCTTGCTTGATAAGCAGGGATAGGCCTATAATAATTGTTTTAATAATAATGATAGCAATTGTTGTTACACCGAATCGTCATTTACAGATGCAATTTTCCACCCCAAAAATTTGTCGGGACATTTTTTACAGCATTTCGGTAAAATTTTGCCAGATTTTTTCAGCCTTTCATCCCCTCTTTATTCAAGCCTCGCTCATTGACTGGGAAAAGGCAACCAATTTTTTAATTTTTATTATCTTCCTGAGAATTTTTCCTGTTTTATATTTTTTAGTTGTTGACTAATAATAATTACAGAAGTTTAATTTTAAATACCTATAGGTACGAATGTTTGTAATATTTCAACGTTAAAACTGAAGAAATATCAATATTAATAGAAAATTTGAATTTACCAGTTTTACAAGTATTATGAGCTGACTATTAAGTAGGAATTTACATGCCAATTATATAACAACAAAAGAAATGGAAAATGTAACGTGGTTCAAAAAAACTAAACCATGCGTGAGCATTGAAATAAGCGTTTTCTATTACAGTTGAAAACGTTACAGTTTTCTACTACAGTCTACTACATTCACCAATTTTAAACGATAATGGAAAATTAGGTAAATTTGAAAAAAACGATATTTAATTACGTTAATCAGAAAAATATACATTCGTTACAGAAAATAATTCTGACTGGCATCTACTGGTAGAATACAAGTGGCCGACGATGGGGCGCTGATAATTCCTCTTGAATAAAGAAGTTTTAAATTTGGGTTTAGGAATTGAAATATTATTGGTTTGACCGCGAAGACTTTTCAACAATAACTCTATAACGAGGGCAAGTATCACAATAGTTTAGTTGTGCAACAGTTGGGTCACTGTGGCTGAGAAAATGTGAAAATATCGGGCTGTATGATAATAAAAACAAAAATTTATTGCATTCTCGTGCTATGTGTGAGAAATAAATTTGTCCGAGATGCGGGGCATGAAGGCGGACATAACAGAAAAAATTCTATGATTTTAAACCCATCTTCTTAGCGTTGAATGAAATGAAGAGTCAACGCAGACGCACTGCATTCACAATTTTTTTCACGTTTTTATTAAAAATTTTGAACAAAATCTCCAAGAAATCGATGGGCTCAAAAATTTTTTTTTTACTTTAAAATATAAATTTCCAAATTAAAGACTCTCTTAGAAAGTTTGTACGCAATATTGATGAGAAAATAAAAGTAAATCGATGTCGATTATCGGGTGAAATCGAACTCAAAACTTCTTATGTAAATTGCACTGAAAATTCGCTTGCGATATTTTGTTGTAAATTTCTTTTTGTTTTTAAATTGAAAATTTACAAGTGATGTTCATAACCGGGTGAAATCACAGCAAAAACTTCGGTTTATCGAAAATTTATGGAAAATTTATCTTCCGGATCTAAAATTTATAAGCGACGTCGAGTCGCGGGTGAAATGAAAGCTCCGACGCTCGCCAAGTCTTGCATGTCACGCAGACAAACCTGCGCATGAAATTATGCGCCGCAGAGTCTCGCATGTCACGCAGACAAACCTGCGCATGAAATTATGCGCCGCAGAGTCTCGCATGGCACGCAGACAAACCTGCGCATGAAATTATGCGCCAATGCACAGGCACGTGCCTGAGAAACCTGCGCCCGCAGTGCCAGATTCTGTTCCACATTTTCCCCTCTCCCTTTTGCACTTTCTCTGTCCCCTCATAATTTCCTTTATCTTTTCTTCACAATATTTATCTTTGCCCTTCATGATTTCTTTCGTATTTTCATCACAATCTTTTTCTTTTCCACTCTCTTCTTCGAAGTCCGTATTTCTTCCAACGTATATCCTACATAATTTTGTCTT